GCTCACAGACACATAACGGGTATAACTTTTCAGACTGGAATCTCACTGAACCTGAAAAGAGAGTATTAGCCAAAGGACTCAATTTTGCCATTTCTCCGCAACAGTTGCCCATAGTGAACCTTATCACAGCCACAGAAACCGACATACGGATTAATAAATTATCACAGACAGAAGCAGAGCAAATCAGGATGAAAGTCTCAGCCACCCTCTCCAGTGCCAAAGTCCCTCCGTCCAACCTCACAATACAAGGAAAGAAGGCTGTCGCTTCCCTGAGCAAAGACCACAACATCACTGTTTTACCAACAGATAAGGGAAGATGCACCGTGGTCCTAAACACTACAGATTACCACACAAAGATCACTACTCTCCTCAGTGACAACAATACCTACGAAGCCTTAAAGCGAGACCCCACAAGCAGCTAAAAAGAAAGTTATAGCTTGCCTTCAGGATCTTGAGAAGGACAAAATCATTGACCGCCTTACATATCACCGCCTTTATCCAGGGGATGCCATACCTTGCATTTACAGACTTCCTAAAATCCACAAGGAAGATGTCCCACTCAGACCCATAGTCAGTAGCATAAACCATGCTATTATCCTTGCACCTCTTGTGGGGAACACCCCACACCACATCAAAAACTCCACCGACTTCACCGAAAAGGTCCAGAAACTTACCCTGGACCCAGATGAAACCATGGTGTCCTTTGATGTAGTCTCTCTCTTCACTTGCATACCCACCACGGAGGCAGTGGAGACTGTCAGGAAACGACTACAAGAACACAGCTCCTTGGAAGACAGGACCAACTTCACACCCGATCATTCTGCACACTGTACCTCTGCCTCACCACTACATACTTCAAATACAACGAAGGTTTCTACAGACAAAAACATGGCTGTGCCATGGGCTCCCCCGTCTCACCTATTGTAGGCAACCTTTACATGGAGGAAGTGGAAAGGAAGGCTTGTTTCATGTGTGACAACTGCAAGTGCAGAGTGAGCACAGACTGAGGGACCCACTGCTGCACATCATCTGTGAGGCTTTGCGCCCCTGATGATTCATCAGGACAAACTCAGCAGTGTGTGAGGAAGAGGAGGAGGAAGAGCCAGCAGCAGCTGACAGATGGAGAGAATAGACAGACTGTTCCCTGTTTGTGAAGGACGGCTAGGAAAGTGTAAAAATAACTAATTATCTGTCCTGAATCAGTCTTATTAGGTAATGTTCAAATAATTTGATCATTCCAGTGTTTTCAGTGTGGGAGAAAGTACTCAGGGCCTTCAAGTTACACACTATGAAAGGCAGCAACAAGTTTAATATTCAGAAACCTAAAGTATGTATCAGCAGCAGAATGGAGCTAAGAAAAAATGTTTGTTTCAGTTTTATGAAGCTTTGAGTATTTTGGATTAGTAGCACTGCTGTGTTTGTTGCATCATATTGCTGTAATTGT